CCTCTGCACCCTCTCCAAAGCATCCACATCCTTTTGGTAATGTGGCGACCAGAACTGTAAGCAGTATTCCAAATGTGGTCAAACCAAAGTCCTATACAACTGTAACATGACCAGCCAACTCTTGTACTCAATACCCCGTCCGATGAATGAAAGCATGCCGTATGCCTTCTCGAACACTCTATCGACCTGCGTTGCCACCTTCAGGGTACAATGGACCTGAACGCCCAGATCTCTCTGTGCATCAATTTTTCCTAGGGCTTTTCCATTTACCGTATGACTTCAAGTTTCGAATACAATTTTTTGTTTAAAAAGCAATCCTCATCAACTTTACAATTTTTATCCAAAAATAATTAAAATGGTAAAACATAACTGAAATATAATCAGAGTTGAATCAACTGTAGAAGGAAGCCATTTGATCCATTATTCTTCTGCTGGCATATTACCCCTGCAACTCAATGCAAAAGCCCCCATTCTTCTTCTTATAGGTCTCTCTGCAGCAGATATTAATCCTTTAAAATATGCAGTCATATGTACTTCAAACATTCTGTAGCAGAGAAGTTATATGAGTAGATGCTGAGTAGAAGTCTTTCCTGTTCTAGTAATATATATCACTTTTTTTTAAACGTTGACTGCCTTAGAAGCTGGAAGTTTTTGTGAGAAGATATAATAATTTGTTTCTCTCTTAATTAGCAGTTTAGTCAATCTGAAGGCTATTTCACATTTTTTTTTTAGAAACTGAATATTCATTCATTTCCAACATAGCACATGGGACGCAAACAATCAACTCAACATTCCTTAAACTCCACAACTTTCTGCTATCCATTAACAGGATTTTTCATCCCATCTGTAAATCTTGGCTTTGCTATTTACTTTCCAATCAAACCTGCATCAACTCTTATATTTTGCTTTATCATCTCTGTAGCAAATTTGTAAAGAAATGCACAGCAAGACTGGAAGATGAATAGATGATTCAATCCCTTGAACTTCAGCCACCAATCCTTAACTCCATTTATAGGCTTTTGCTCTTTACTCTTGATACTTTTGCTTAAGAATTCTTTTCAATTTTAACATTCAAAATTTAAGTTGACCTAAAGAGGCCTTTGTGGGAGACACTCTAGATTTCAGCCACTTGTTGAATGATAAAACATTACTTGACTCCTATCTGAATAATCTATCTCTAGTTTTAAGATTATGTACCTTGTTCTGGATTCCTCAATTTAATAGATTTTGTTGAATTCCTTTATCATTTTGCACACTTTCATTGGATCGCGCATCTAAGTTAATGAAATTCAAAACAACTACATATGCATTAGAAACAGAAGTAGGCCATTCAGCTCCTCAAGCCTGTTTGCCATTCAATAAGATTATAGCTTACTTGATTGTAACCCCAAATCCACATTCCTGCATACCCTGATAAATTTTCACGCCCTTACTTAACAAGAATCTATCGACCTCTACCTTAAAAACATTCAAGGACTCAGCATTCACCACCATTTCAGACAGAGAATTCCAAAGACCCTCAACCCTCTAAAGGAAAAAAAATGCCTCATCTGTATTTAAATGGGCAACCCTTGAATTTTTAAACAGTAACCCCAGTTCTTGATTCTCCCATAAGAAGTAACACCCTCTCCACATCTGAGATAAGAAGGTGTAGAGCTGAATGAACACAGCAGGCCAAGCAGCATCAGAGGAGCAGGAAAGCTGACGTTTCGGGTCTAGACCCTTCTTCAGAAATGGGGGAGGGGAAGGGGTTTCTGAAATAAATAGAGAGAGAGGGGGAGGCAGATGGAAGATGGATAAAGGAGCAGATAGGTGGAGAGGAGACAGACAGGTCAAAGAGGCGGGCCTGGAGCCAGTAAAGGTGAGTGTAGGTGGGGAGTTAGGGTGGGGGTTGGTCAGTCCAGGGAAGACGGACAGGTCAACACGGTGGGGATGATGTTGGTAGGTAGGAGGAGGGGGTAGGGCTTGAGGTGGGAGGAGCGGATAGGTGGGAGAAAGGATGGACAGATTAGGGAGGCGGGAATGCGCTGGGCTGGTTTCGGAATGCGGTTGGGGGAGGGGGGATTTTGAAGCTTGTGAAGTCCACATTGATATCATTGGGTTGCAGGGTTCCCAAATGAAAATGTGGTGCTGTTCCTGCAACCTTTGGGTGGCATCATTGTGGCACTGGAGGAGGCCCAGGATGGACATGTCGTCCAAGGAGTGGGAGGGGGAGTTGAAGTGGTTCGCGACTGGGAGGTGCAGTCGATTGTCGTGAACCAAGCATAGGTGTTCCACAAAGCAGTCCCCAAGCCTCCGTTTGGCTTCCCCGATGTAGAGGAGGCCACATCGGGAACAGCGGATACAGTATACCACATTAGTAGATGTGCAGGTGAACATCTGTTTGATGTGGAAGGTTTTCTTATGGCCGGAGATGGGGGTGAGGAGGGAGGTATAGGGGCAGGTGTAGCACTTCCTGCGGTTGCAGGAAAAAGTGCCGGGGGTGGTGGGGCTGGTGGGGAGTGTGGAGCGGACAAGTGAGTCACGGAGAGAGTGGTCTCTCCAAAAGGCAGATAAGGGTGGGGAGGAAATTGTGTCTTTGGTAGTGGGTCAGATTGCAGATGGCGGAAGTGCCGGAGGATGATGTGTTGGATCAGGAGGTTGGTGGGGTGATACGTGAGGATGAGGGGGATTCTGTTTTGGTTGTTATTGCAGGGAGGGAGTGTGAGGGATGAGTTGCGGGAAATGTGAGAGACGCGGTCGAGGGCATCTTCGACCACTGTGGAGGGGAAGTTGCGGTCCTTGAAAAACGAGGACATCTGGGATGTCCGGGAGTGGAATGCCTCATCTCGGGAGCAGATGCAGCGGAGGGGAAGGAATTGGGAATAGGGGATGGCATTTTTGCAGGAAGGTGGGTGAGAGGAGGTGTATTCTAGGTTGCTGTGGGAGTCAGTAGGCTTGAAATGGATATCGGTTTCCAGGTGGTTGCCAGAGATAGAAACAGAGAGGTCCAGGAAGGACAGAGAGGTATCGGAGATGGTCCAGGTGAACTTAAGGTTGGGGTGGAAGGTGTTGGTGAAGTGGATGAACCGTTCGAGCTCCTCATGGGAGCATGAGGCGGCGCCGATACACTCATCGATGTAACGGAGGAAGAGGTGGGGGATAGGGCCAGTGTAGCTTCGGAAGAAGGATTATTTTACATATCCTACAAATAGGCATGCATAGCTAGGGCCCATGCACGTACCCATGGCCACCTCCTTTGTCTGTAGGAAGTGGGAGGAATTGAAGGAGAAGCTGTTAAGGATGAGGACGAGTTCAGCTAAGCGGATAAGGGTGTCAGTGGAGGGGGACTCGTTGGGCCTGCGGGGCAGGAAGAAGCAGAGGGCCTTTAGGCCATTTGCGTGGGGAATGCAAGTGTAGAGGGACTGGTCGTCCATGGTAAAAATGAGGTGGTGGGGACCAGGGAATTGGAAGTTTTGGAGGAGGGGGACGTCATGGGTGGTGTCACAGATGTAGGTGGGGAGTTCCTGGACCAAGGGGGAGAAAATGGAGTCGAGATAAGTGGAGATAAGTTCGGTGGGGCAGAAGCAGGCGGAGACAATGGGTCGACCAGGGCAGTTGTGGATTTTGGGAAGGAGATAGGAATGGACAGTGCGGGGTTGGGGAACGATGAGGTTGGAGGCTGTGGGTGGGAGGTCACCTGAGGCCTCCCCCCTCACCCCCATCCCAGGCCCCAAGAAAACCTTCCACATCAAACAGATGTTCACCTGCACATCTGCTAATGTGGTATAGTGTATCCGCTGTTCCCGATGTGGCCTCCTCTACATGGGGGAAATCAAGCGCAGGTTTGGAGACCGCTTTGTGGAACATCTATGCTCGGTTCGCGACAAACAACTGCACCTCCCAGTCGTGAACCACTTCAACTCCCCCTCCCACTCCTTGGACGACATGTCCATCCTGGGCCTCCTCCAGTGCCACAACGATGCCACCTGAAGGTTGCAGGAACAGCACCTCATATTTCACTTGGGAACCCTGCAGCCCAATGGTATCAATGTGGACTTCACAAGCTTCAAAATCTCCCCTCCCCCGACCACATCCCAAAACCAGCCCAGCTCGTCCCCACCTCCCTATCCTGTCCGTCCTTTCTCCCACCTATCCACTCCTCCCACCTCCTACCTACTAACCTCATCCACGCCCCCTTGACCTATCTGTCTTCCCTGGACTGACCAACCCCCACCCTAACTCCCCACCTACACTCACCTTTACTGCCCCCATCCCCGCCTCTTTGACCTCTCCGCCTATCTGCTCCTTTATCCATCTTCCATCCGCCTCCCCCTCTCTCTCTATTTATCTCAGAAACCCCTTCCCCTGCCCTATTTCTGAAGAAGGGTCCAGACCTGAAACATCAGTTTCCTGCTCCTCTGATGCTGCTTGGCCTGCTGTGTTCATTCAGCTCTACACCTTGTTCTCTCAGATTCTCCAGCATCGGCAGTTCCTACTATCTCTCACCCTCTCCACATCTACCTGTTAAGACCCATTAGGATCTTATATATTTCAATCAAATCACTTCTTCCTGTCTTAAACTACAACAAATTTAAGGGTAATTTACCCTAGCGTACAAGACATTCTCTTCCTTTCTTAAATAAGGAGACTAATACCATTGTATACTTTGGTACTCCAGGACTGGTCTCTCCAGTGCTCTACATAATTGAAGCATAACCTCCCTATTTTAATGGTCAATTCTCCTCACAATCAATTATAATATTCTGTTAGGTTTCCTAATTACTTGCTGTACATGCATACTAACCTTATGTGATTCATGCGCAATGACACCCAAGTTTTCCTGTGCTTCAGAGATCTGCAATGTCTAAACTTTTAAATGATATGCTTCCTTTTTATTCTTCCTGACAAAAATGGACAATTTCACATTCCATTATATTCCATTTGCCACATTTTTGCTTACTCACTTAACCTGTATTTTTATAGCCTCCTAATGTCCTCGTCACAACTTGCTTTCTTACCTTACTTTGTGTTGTCAGCATATTTGGCAACCATACCTTCCATCGTTTCATCTAAGTCATTACATTTGTTCAGCGGCGGGAGTCGGGAGAGAGCGCGAGGGGTCTGCTGGGAAGGTGAGATTTTCATTTTAAAAGACTTACCTCGTGGAATCAACGGCCTCCATTTGTTCAGCGGCAAGAGTCAGGAGAGAGCGCAAGGGGACTGCTGGGAAGGTGAGATTTTCATTTTAAAAGACTTACCTCGTGGAATCAGTGGCCTCCATTTTTGCAGCAGCAGCGGGAGCGGTGAGAGCGAGGACCAGGGGCTTCTGGGAAGGTAAGTTCTTCATTTCGGCAGCGGAGCTGAGTAGGAGCAGTCAAATTGCACTCTGGGAAAGTGAGTGAACTGATATCTTTGGGCAGTGGCTAAATCCGAGACACTACACGTATAGTGACTCCCACCCGCCCTCCTCCTCTAACCAAAAAAAAGACTCTGTGGTGTGTTGATAAGGTAAGGTTTTTCTTTTTTTTTCAATCGTGTGCTGGTAAGTAGAGTGATTGGTAAAATTTTTTTCATTTCATTTACCTATTATTTGATTGCTGAGGGAGAAAGGGAATGGGTGACCAAAAGGCAGAGAAAAAGCAGGAAGGCAGTGCAGGTGTCCCCTGCGGTCATCTCCCTCCAAAACAGGTATACCATTTTGGATACCGTAGGGGGAGATGGTTCATCAGGGGAAGGCAGCAGTAACCAGGTTCATGGCACTGTGACTGGCTCTGCTGTACAGAAAGGCGGGAAAAAGAGTGGAAGGGCTATAGTCATAGGCGATTTGATTGTAAAGGGAGTAGATAGGCGGTTCTGTGGTCGAAAACGAGACTCCGGAATGGTATGTTGCCTCCCAGGTGCATGGGTCAGGGACGTCTCAGATCGACTGCAGGACATTCTGAAGGTGGAGGGTGAACAGCCAGCTGTCGTGGTGCATATAGGCACCAATGATGTAGGTAATAAAAGGGATGAGGTCCTAAAGCAGAATTTAGGGAGTTAGGAGCCAAGTTAAAAAGTAGGACCTCAGAGGGAGTAATCTCAGGATTGCTACCAGTGCCGCATGCTAGTCAGAGTATAAATGAAAGAATAGGCAGGATAAATGAGTGGCTTGAGAGATGGTGCATGAGGGAGGGGTTCAGATTTTTAGGACATTGGTTCCAGTCCTGCCCAGGTGTAGACCGTCCAATTTGTAACAGTCCCACCTCCCCCAGAACCAGTCCCAATGTCCCAAAAATCTGAACCCCTCCCTCATGCACCATCTCT